AAAGTGTGGTGAACGCCAATCTCGGGAATCGTGCCCTGTTTTTTTTTTTTTTTTTTTATGTCCCCCCTGGGGATGATGTTTTATTGTTTGTGTAGGGAGACCTCTTGAGATGGGATGTGAAATCCTTGGGGTTGAAAGGTTAAGGGGATGTATCACTCTTGAGATTGGATGTCCAATCATTGGGATGAGATGCCAAACCTTGGGGTGGGAAAGTCCCCTAGCTCAGGATGAGGCAATGACGAACCCTGTTATGGTTTTGAAGGACTCCAAATGTCGTTCACATTATTCGAAGGAGGAGCTCGTAAGGGAGAAGCGTTGCCTTTTGAAGGTGAATGTGGGCGTTGTTGCCCAATTCGTATTTCTCGGCGATGAGTGATTTGTTGTATTCGGAATTGAGGGTTCAAAGTAGATGCCCACGACACACTCGCTTGGTGGTGGTTACCTTATAGCGGTGGTTGTGCTACCGGTGTAGCCGCATGACAATGTATGGTGCCACTGCTTCAGTGGCAGCACGAGTTGAATCTTCCGTGATCGTACGCTGAAGGTCTTCTTCAGTTATCTGAACCGTTCGAGGAGCAAGGAGAAGTTGATCCTGTTGAGGATCTAGTGGGGCCTCGCGAGGAGGAGCGTTGGCTCCTTCTATGGCGATGTATGGTGTCACTACTTCAGTGGCTGCACGAGTTGAAGCTTCCGGGATCATACGCTGAAGGTCCTCCTCGGTTATCAGAACCGTTCGAGGAGCAAGTAGAAGTTTGATCTTGTTGAAGCTTCCATGATCATATGCTGAAGGTCCTCATCGGTTATCTGAACCGTTCGAGGAGCAAGTAGAAGTTTGATCTTGTTGAAGCTTCCACGATCATACGCTGAAGGTCTTCTTCGATTATCTGAACCGTTCGAGGAGTAAAGAGAAGTAGATCATGTTGAGGACCCAGTGGGGCATCGCGATGATGAACTTGTGTTGGATCCCGAATGCGGGAAGGGGGAATTGGCAAGCCAGAGCCTCCATGAGGTGGGAGGTTATTAGCGTTGAAGGGCCTCCTCAGTTATCTGAACCGTTCGAGGGGCGGGAAGGAGTGGATATTGTTGAGGATCTAGTGGGACATAACGAGGAGGGTCTCGTGGTGGATCCCGAGCACGGGGAGGAGGAAGCGGTAAGCCAGAGCCTCCACGAGGTGGGAGGTTGTTAGCAGTGTCACACTCCCCTGAGCAGATGTCTCAAGGCCATCTTGTGCGCTACATGATCTTGTTTGTGTTCCCACAGACGACGCCAAAATGATGATGCTAGAGTTAGATCACCTTAGAGTGTTGAAATAAGATGAGCTGTAAGAGCAGAGTGGATCACCACCGGAGACCGGCGGAAAAATTAGGAAAAAAAAAAGTGAACACCAGAGACAGACCGTCAACGATGGTGATGGCTATATATATGTATATGGTTTTTGTGCATAAGTTCCCAACCAAGCATCTTTATTATTCTAGGTTTAGGGGCTATATTTTTTTCACCAATAAGTCCACCTCTTTAATATTTATTATAAATAAATGAAACATTCATGCATATGTCAATATTACCCTCACCTCTTTATACCAATTCTTAATTGTATCCCCAATTTAATCAATTTTGTCCACAAAAATCCAATTTTTGCCACAAAAATTCAATTTTGAATTTTTTTGAAGTATACTTTAATATGCTCCAATTTCAACCTTACCTTAATTTAATCTCAATTTGACCCTAAATTTCACAAATTATTCAATTTTGACCAAAAACATTTGTTTTTCAAAAAAAAATTCTTTTTCAAAAAAATAATTTTTTTGCCGCCGGTTTCCGGTGTTGACCGGCAGTCAACGCCGGTCTCCGGCGTTGACTTTTTTTTTTTTTTTTTTTCTTTTCTTCCGGATTTTTTCCCGGTTTCCGCCGTTGACCGGTGGTCTCCAGTGTTGACTTTTTTTTTTTTTTTTTTTTTTTACGTTCACCGCTAAACGTTGACCGTAATTGTGCTGTCACTGACAGTAAATTAACGTAATTATACTGTCAATGACAGTTAATTAACGTAATTGTACTGTCGTTGACAATACATTTATGTAATTATTCTGCCGTTGACTGTAAATTAACGTAATATTATTTTTTTGTTATTTTTTTTATTTTTTTTATTTGTTGACAAGTCAACGTAATTATATTACTGTCGTTGACAATAAAATAACTGTAAACACAATAATATTACTGTCAACAACATCAATATTATTATTTTTTGGGTTTTTTGTTTTGTTTGAGTTATTCATGGAGTAACGTAATAATATTACTGTCTATTATTGTAATATTACTGTAAACACAATAATATTACTGTGGTTGACGGTAATATTACTGTTGTTATAGTAATATTGCTGTCAACCACATCAATACTATTATTTTTTTTGGATTTTTTTTATTTGTTTGAGTTATTCACGGAGTAACGTAATAATATTACTGTCCATTATTGTAATATTACTGTGGTTGACGGTAATATTACTGTTGTTATAGTAATATTACTGTCACTCACAGTAATATTAATTCTTTTGGTTTTTTATTATGTTTACATTTGTTGAACGGTCAACATAGTAATATTACTCTATTACACAATAATAATGAGTTTTGTTGTGTTAATATTACTGTGCTAGAGATTAAAATAGCAATATTACCGTGTTAAACTGTAGTTTAGTTAATTTTACTATGTTTAACAGTAATATAGTTAATATTACTGTCAATCACAGCAATATTGTTGTTTAAACGAAAAAAAAAGGTTACATAAAGAAAGAAAAGAAAAAAAAAATCGAAAAAGTCAACGCTGGAGACCGGCGAAAAAATCAGGAAGAAAAAAAAAATCGAAAAATTCAACGCCGGCATCCGGCGGGAAAAAAAAAATTGAAATTTTTTTTTTGAAAAACAAAATGTTTTGGGTCAAAATTGAATAATTTATGAAATTTGGGGTCAAATTAAGTTAAGGATGAAATTGAAGCATATTAAAGTATGAGGGGCCATTTTAGTCTTTTACAAAAATTTAGACCATGTGTGGACTTATTAGTAAAAGAGATTTTTATCTGAATCTCTTTATAAATAAATACCCATTGATACACTTATTTGTAATCACCCCTTATATATTAAGGTCATATATATTATTAAGGAGAAAGAATGGAGAAAGTGAGGGCAATAATTATAAGTAAAGTAATCCCATTCTACCTACTGACCTCAAATTAAAAAAGAAATATGTAAAAAAAATAAAAGTCAATGATTGACATATTAATTGATATACAAAATAATGGATATGCGAATGATGCTATGATTGTATTAGGTGATTTTTCGATGTATATATTTGAGAAATTAAAGCAGCACCTCACCATATCATAACATCCATCAAATAAACCCTAATATTAGAAATAGCAAAATTGGCAACGAATTGTTTAACTACGATATTAATTTTGTTGCGAATAGTTATATTTTAGCAACAAAAATTGATATTCGTTGCCAAAGTTGAATGTTTCGGCAACAAAATGGATTTGTAGCCTTTTCATCTAATTAGGCAACGAAACTCATTGTAGTGAATAGTATTGTACACAATTGTCAACAAATTTAATGAATTACAACAAAATATTTTGTTGCAAAAGAATAATTCTTTTTGCTACGAATTAAATTGTAGCAAATAATGTTTCATTGGCAACAAATACATTTCATTGTTAATAAGCTATAAAAGAAACAAAATATTTTGTTGTGAATATTCAATAAATTGGCAACGAAACATAATTGTAGCCAAAATATAATTTTGTATACTTAGCAATGAAAGCAATCGTTAAAGTTGGAATGAGTCATATATGGACTTATAAGGAATATATTAGGAGCTAGAAATAAAACTACTTGGTTGCCAATAATTTTTGAATGCAAGGGTTTTCGTCGGTTTGGTAAACCAGTTGAACCGTGTCGAACCGAATATTTGGCACGTACTTAATAGCGATGCATTAATTTGGTTCGGTATTCGAGTTCGCTATTTTTAAATTTCTGTAATTTGTTTTTGACAACTATTATGTAAAACTATATATTTTATTTAATTTTTTAATTAGAATAATACTTAATGATTTTCCAAATTATAATGGAAATAAAGAAATTACTACCCAAATTTTTACGTAATACAATTAACAACCCATAGTGATATTACTCCTAGGAAAGTAAATTTATATAATATTTAAATCATATATGATAACAATGATTATTAATAGCTCTGCAAATAAAAAGTCAAATTTGTGTTTTCAATTACCACCCAATACGGCTAAATACCTAATTTGAATAGGAAAGGGAAACAGATTCAACAAACGAGCTAATACACGACACTGCCGCCGTTGTTATAAAGGTATCCCAAAATTGATTTCTCTGCTGCACCAACACCAATTTAAACTTCAATTTTGAAACTAATTAATCATCCTCACCAAGTTTCGTCTTATATCCAAAGGACAGGTTACGTAATCGATTTCTCCTCCATAGAACGAGCTCACTTGATTTCTCCGGCGACAACACTACGGCGGTGAATACTTTTGGTAGGTAAATTGAACACAATACTGTTTGGGCATACGATTAAGTATCACGGTTAATCATGTCTCCAACCTTTTTCTCTTTTAAGAGATTTTATATGTTCAGCTAAATGTTATTTTTCTCTTGCACAATTTCGTTAATTTATCTTTATCCCCGATCAAGAACTTCATGTTTCATGATAATAAGAGAGTTGTCAAATTAATGAGATTGATAATAATATAATAACTACAACATTTACTCACTGTATTAACCTATATGGGATGGATCTTATGTAAAGGGATTTTCTATGAGCAGAGAAGATTTGTCATTCTGAATTTGAATCAGGTCATTGATGTAGTTACTTAAATTTATTTTTAAATAAAAGAGATATTGTATTAGAGTTGGCTATTTTTCATTCGTTTTCTCTCTACACACACAATAACGTATGCTATACTTCAATAGGTCGTATGTGATGGACAAAAGTTGGATGACAGCTAGAAAGTTTTCTAGAGAATATGTACAGGGCGTTCAATCATTTATGAAGTTTGTGGATGAACACATTGGCCAAGAACGTGAGATTAAGTGTCCTTGTACTTTTTGCTTGAACTCATATATTAGAAGTAAAGAAGAAGTGCTTGATCATCTGCTTATTCGAGGTATAGATACTGAATACACTAGGTGGATTCATCATGGTGAATTATTTGATTATCAAGTTCCTCGTAGTGATTCTGATAATGGTTCTGTGAATGAGGATGACGACCACACAAATGGAGTGAACGACTTGTTGAACGATCTTGGAAATTTTTATGAAAATACTCGTCGTTTTGATAAAGACCATAACACCAATGAAAGTGAGGAAAGTGAAGATATACCTATGACGTTTCTTGAGCTATTACGTAAGGCTGAACAAGAACTTTATCCAGGTTGCTCGAAGTTCTCAACTTTATCTTTTATTGTGCATTTGCTCCACATAAGGGTTTATAATAAGTGGAGCAATAAGTCATTTGACATGATGTTAACACTGCTAAAAAAAGCTTTACCTCATGGTGAAACTCTTCCGAAATCATACTATGATGCAAAAAAGATTTTAAATGACTTGGGTTTGGGATACACTGCAATCCATGCATGTAAGTATGATTGTGCTTTATTTTGGAAAGAGTATGAAAATTATCAAGAGTGTCCAGTTTGTGGTACTTCTAGATGGAAAGTTAGTAATGCTAAGAGAAAGCAAATTCCTCACAAAATATTGCGCTACTTTCCTTTAAAGCCAAGGTTGCAGAGGTTGTTTATGTCACCGAAGACAGCAGCAGATATGAGATGGCATTCGGACAAGCGAATAAATGATGAAAAAGAGTTGAAACATCCAGCAGATGAAAGAACATGGAAAGAATTTGATCAACAACACCCATATTTTTCAAAAGATGCCCGTAACATACGACTTGCTTTGGCAACTGATGGCTTCAATCCATTTGGTACTATGAGTAATTCTTACAGCATGTGGCCCGTCATTATCATTCCATACAACTTGCCGCCTTGGAAATGCATGAAGAAGTCATATTTCATGATGTCATTGCTCATTCCTGGACCACATCAACCAGGTAAAGATATTGATATATACCTACAACCATTAGTTGATGAATTAAAAGACTTGTGGAATGAAGGTGTGCAAACCTATGATGCATTTTCTAAGAAGAATTTTCAAATGCATGCTGCTCTTTTATGGACAATTAACGATTTTCCTGCGTATGGTTGTGTGTCTGGTTGGAGTACAAAGGGTTATATGGCATGCCCTGTCTGCAATAAACATACATGCTCAAAGGGATTGAGAAGTAAAATTTGTTATATGGGTCATCGTCGATACTTGCCTCGTGGTCATAAATGGCGAAAAAATAAAATCAAGTTCGACGGAAAAGAAGAATTAAACATGGCACCGAAATACTTCTCTGGAAATGATGTATCTCAGCAAACGATGCATTTAAAAGGTGTTAAAGGTGGAAAACATCCCAGTTTAAAGAAAAAAAACAAGCGAGATAAACAAGATTTGAATTGGACTAAGAGGAGCATTCTTTTTGAATTGCCTTATTGGAAGACAATACTCTTAAGACACAATCTTGATGTCATGCACATCGAAAAAAATATTTGTGATAATATTTTGGGGACGTTGTTGAATATGGATAAGAAGACAAAAGATACATATAAAGCAAGGAAAGATTTGGAGGATATGAATATTAGAAAGGAACTGCATTTAAAAAAAAGAAATGATGGGAGGTATGTTATACCACCGGCAGCTTATGCAATGTCTAAAAAAGAAGGACAACAATTTTGTGAATTTGTTAAAGCACAAAAGTTTTCAGATGGATATGCTTCTAATATTGCTCGTTGTGTAAATGTGTTTGAAGCTAAGTTAGTGGGTTTGAAAAGTCATGATTGTCATGTTCTCTTGCAACGGGTACTTCCATATGGCATTCGTGGATGTTTGAGCAAAGACATATACGCTGCAATACTTGAGTTAGGGGATTTCTTTCGGAGGTTGTGTTGTAGAAAGTTGATGGTAGAAGACGTAAATAAATTGGAAAAAGATATTATTGAGATATTGTGTAAACTTGAAATGATTTTTCCACCAGCTTTTTTTGATGTTATGGTGCATTTAGCTATGCATCTACCACGTGAAGTTATGTTAGGTGGCCCAGTTCAATACCGATGGATGTACCCTATTGAAAGGTAACGTATAAGTATAAATTTTGTTTATATTTACATATCATTGAATGATTATTCATATCTGAATTCTCTCAATAATTAAAGCAATATCCTTTTTTATTAATTAATATTATCTATAATAGATATTTAGGTACATTAAAGGGTTACGTACGGAATAAAGCTCGTCCAGAAGGGTCTATTGCAGAAGCTTATATTGTGAATGTTTGACATTTTGCTCAATGTACCTTGATGGAATTGAAACTTCTTTTAACAAAGAAGAAAGGAATATGGATAAAGAAGTTGATTGTAAGTTGTCCGTTTTTTCACAAAAGGTACGACCATTTGGAGCTATAAAATATTGTGAGCCCCCAAGGGACGAGTTAGATTTGGCTCATTGGTATATTTTGAGCAATTGTGAAGAAGTGGAACAATTTCACCAGTAAGTAATCTATTGTTGAATAATAATAGCATAATTTTTTTTATAAGCATTTACTTTTCGCAAATCGATAAATAATAATTTTATCGTCTTGTATAGAATGCACAAAGAGATACTCGAGCAAGAGAGTATATTGAATTTCGAAGACAGGCACAAAAAGCAATTTCCAGAGTGGTTTAAACATCATGTAAGAGAAATAATTGAAACTTAGTTAATTTGTATAATTTATTGTTTTGGAATTTATACTCTAATACCTTATTTGTTATGCAGATGGCGCAAAAGAAATCACATAATCCACAAGATAATGTAGATGAATTGTATGCATTAGCATGTGGACCTAGTATGATTGTGAACAAGTATCCGGGTTGTATTGTAAATGGAGTAAGATTCCATACTAAGGAGCGTGATAGTCGTCGTACAACACAAAATAGTGGTATAATGGTTGAAGGTAACCATAATGACATTATGATCGAGTTTTACGGCATCGTCATTGAAATAATTGAGCTAGACTATATCAAAGACAATCATGTTATTCTTTTTAAGGCACAATGGTTTAATCTTGGTAACAAGAAATCTATTATACATGATGGGAAAACCACTAGCATCAATATCAGTCGTACATGGTATGAGGATGACCCATTTATACTTGCATGTCAAACAAAACAAGTATTCTACCTTGATGATATGAAATTGGGCAAAGATTGGAGAATAGTAATAAAATTTCAACATCGCCACGTGTTCGACTCTTTAGAGATAAATGATGGAGATATTAGGGAGGACGATAATGTCTACCAAGAAGATGAATCTTCACAACTTGATACATCCGTTCAAGATGATTTAGGAGAGTTAATATCTCTGGAGAGAAATGATGTTGATCCGGTCGTTGTTGGGGTTGATACAATTCAAGGTTTGGAAAATGAAATTGAAGATTTCAACGCAGTTCAAGATGATGCTTCTGAAGAAGATGATACATTGGATAATTATTGTAACGTAGAGGAAGAATTTCAAATCACCGATGATGATAGTGACTTGGAATGACTTATAACTAAAAAATTAGATCCTTTACAGTACCTTGTCATTTGCTGGTAAGTTTTTTTTTTTTTTTTTTTTGTTTTGTAATATGTAGTTGTAGAAAATATATTCATTTAGATCTTCAATGTGCAAAGAAGTAAATGCATATAAATTTGTAACTGTGAAGTACTATTTTTATGTCCCTGTAGCTTGCTGATGTATTGGATCACGTGGAAATTTCTTCTCAAATATGATCTTGGAACTAGCTTAGGGATACGATACAGGTATAAAAATTAGTTTATTTATTCTTCTTATTTTTTCGTTTTAACAACTTCTAATTTTATCTTAAGCTTGTATAATTCGTTGAACTTTGTTTGATACCCTTTTATTTCTTCCCGTTTAGAGTAATTTGGGATACTGTTTGATTGTTCGTCATTACCAATAGGCATTTCCCGATTTCCATGATACTTTATATTCATCCAAATTATTATATCTTGTAGCAGGGGAGATGCGAACTTCTGTCTATATTATATTTTTCAAATTTTCTTTTATGTATCTTGTTATCAATATGGTATTGTTTTGTGTATTTGGATAACTTTTCGAGTAAAGCTTGACTTGCTTTATATTGTACTCTGTAGGTTGTGCTAATTTTCTTCCAATAAAGTTTATTGTCAAAAGAGATATTAGTTGAGTAGTTGCAGCAGTACTATGGATTGACATCATTTTCTAGCTTCTTGAAATTTGTAGTCCATAAATTGCTTTCAAGATTAAAATGCTTATTATTTTTCAGATGAAACTCTTAATTTATAGTTTGAGTTTGAAGTTGGTTTTGTGAATAAAATGATATTGGACAATTACATTGTCATTGTGGCAGAGGGGAAACAAATCTAAGTATAAATTTGTACATTATATGTATACGACATTGCTCATATCCTTGTATTTACTTTGTTTTATCCATGTTATGTTCACCAGATTAATTATAAAGGAATGGGATGACCTGCTTTTGATTGTAGTTAAATTACGATTTAGAACTTTACAACTTTACGGCGTTATTTTTTCTCTTCTAAATTTCCTAATATTTAAATGTAGAGAAAATGTGCGTAAAGGAGCAGATGTCGATTAATTTTGCGGTAAATTTAGAGTTGGCCTTTGGTTGATGTTGTGAAATAAAATGTTCAGCTGCAAATTGGTTATGCTTTATCGTTCGATAATCATTTAGCACAAAGAATTTATCGTATTGCTTTCTTTATATAGTCGTTTTTTTTATTAACTATTTTAATTGATTTTTGTTTTTCTTCTTTTTCAACAGATCAAGGTGGTAAAGTGAACTTCGAGAGACTAGCACTAGTTTTTTCGTTACATTTGTTCTAGTTATTAGCTATATGAATGATCGAAAATAATGGGTTTTAAGCGAGTTTAGGATATGCAGGTTAGGGGGTTCCCAACATTGATGGATCGAAATCCGTTATTGTTTGAATAATTTTTTTTTAGTCGACAACTTTTATTCATATATTATTGTTAAGTTAAGATTTTTTTAATATTTAATCTAGTTTATATATATATGATTTACTATATTAGTACATATTAAAACAAAATTATGCCGTTTTACTTAAACAAGACGATACATGACAACTTTGAAAAAAACAAAGACCCATTGCTTTTGATAGATACTCCCTACATGGGACGAATTTTCATGATTTTATCGGGGGCATGGACCGAACTTGCTCACCACTATAATCGTATCAACAAGCACCATAAAATTATTATGTTGCATTCTTTGACGTTATTAAAATCATGTATTTAATATGGACTAAATGAATCATAACTTTGTAATAATTAAATTGTACTCAAGATACAATATCTAAGATTTTAGATAATAATAACACTAGCTGTGCTCAAGCCGAACTCAACAGATCTTTTAAGCTCGAGCTCGAGCCCACTTTGACGATCTCGATCTCGTCGATATTTCATTGTATGAGCTCGAGCTTGAGAACAACTCATTTAGGATTTTTTTAAGTATTACTATTATCATTATTGTTTTTATAGATTATTTATATTAGTAACCCCTTTTGGGGTCTCTTAGATATTTTTTGCATTAGTAATCCCTTTTGGTTATTTCAATTCAGTTGCGGTTGCAGTTTGGTTATTTGCATTAGTAACCCCTTTTAGGGTCTTTTAGATATTTTTTGTAATTCAGCTAGCTATAAGACTGTTAGTTTTAGGTTATTCTTGTTTCGCCCCCATTTGGGCCAAATTGTAAATTAGAAAAGTTAGAGGAGTCCTTGACTTTTTATTACCATTATAGTGGTACTATTTCCTTATGAAATGCCCACAAGGTCTTAACGAGGCCCCAAACGCCTATCTATAATGGAATAACGAAGTCTTTTCAGCAAAAACAAAAAATTAATATTAAGCATAATCAACAATAATTGGTTTAGTTAATTTTTTATCATTAAAAATTTAATTATAAGTAGTATAATTACAATAAATTAAGTATAATTAAAACTAATTTGTTTTGTTAATTTATTTTTTATTATTAAAAAATTAATTATAAGTAGTATAATTAAAAATAATATTTTTAGTTAATTTTTTTATTATTAAAAATTTAGTTATAAGTAGTATATTTAAAATTTCTAATTATTTTTCAGCCTAAAAAAAACTGGGTTCTAGGGCCGGTTCCCGAAATTGAACCTTGGAGGTGAACTTTGTTCACTTTGGAACAACTTGGACCAAAAGTGAAATCATGCCAAACATGATGGGCCAAAAGTATAATTCTCCATATATATATATATATATATATATATATATATATATATATATATTACTTTAATAAATATATCTTTCATTTTTAATAATAATAATAATAATATCTCTCTCCAGCCGTATTCTCCATTTTTTCTCTTATCTTTACATTTTTTCTTTTATCCTCAACTTCACGCAGACTGCAAAATTCCCTTCTTCATCTCCTATTTTTTTTTTTTTAATTTGTCTTGTTTCTTCTCTCTATTTTCACACCGACCCTATCTCCCATGTGTAAATTTCTTTCTAGCTTTGTTTATTCTTTCTTTTCTCAGTTCTTAGATTTGTCCATCCGTCACATAAATCCGGCCACAAAAAACCAAGATCCGACCACCAAACATCAACATCCGGCCACACAGCCCCCAACTCTGACACCCAGCTGCGTTTCGATAAAAAAACCGGTCGAACCGGGTTTTTCTTTAGACCCCGATTTTTTTTTGTTTTTTTCCGGTTTAAGTGGTTGAATCGGGCCCCTTTTGCGCCATGGCACCACGTACCAATCAAATTACAACCACAATGTACTCAATAAACACACGTTCGCATTTCATTCACTCCACGACTACACTAAGGAGGGAATTTCTGGATTTCGCAATTGACCACCACTCCCCCGCGCTAATTTTCATTTTCGGTGAATATCAAATATATAAAGAATCACCTATTACAGATCATATCAAATTCCTTTGATGATTTGTAAGTTTCTGCCATAGTGCAGCGACGTACGGTGTTTTACTTTGGTGGGTGCACCGGACACTCAGGTTAATATTTGAATTTAATTTTTCGTATTTGAACATTGTTTGTAGTAGATAGACATGAGATTGTTTTATAAATTCATCAGAACTCTTAAATGTTTGAACATGATTGGCTTGTTTGTAGTTGATTTTCGGATTGAAAGAATTTGCATAAGTATTAGTCATTCTACTGATGGAATAAAATTGGAAAGATTTTCTCCGTGAATCTTTAAAATTTGAGTATTGAGTATGGTGGATGCTACAAGTTTTGGAGGCAATCTTTTGAACATATTGGAACTTGGTGTACATTTTAGGACTCTTGTGAAGTTTTGAAGTTGTTAAACATTTGTAATAAAAATGATACAAACCTGTATTATTAAAATTGATGTTAATGTTGATTTAATATAAATACTTTTGCTGTTGATTAGGAATTGAAAAAATGGTTAATGCGATTCGCAATCGAGCTAATGCATCATCTAGCAGAGCTACACATCCGTCTATCTCATTGTCTGTGGAGTCGCATTCTCAAGGATCATTGTCTCCCTTGGATCAAGAGGATACCGTTCCACAAACTCCTGATAGTAACATTTGTAAATTGTTCATGTTTATAAATTATTTCTACAATAAGTTTAAATTATTTAATAAGCTAAGTTGCATAATTTTTTGATAATGCAGCTTCAACCAACAAACAGAATGTTCGAGGGGGCACTCGAGGGATAGCTCTTCGAAAATTAAATAAGCAAAACAAACAAAAAATGGTTGTTCACATTGATGCTAAACACGGAAGACCACTTGATAGTGTGGAATCAGCAAAGTTATCTAGTGAGCTGGGGATACTCTCTCGCGAATCGATGCGTGTACCGGCTAAAATGGAAGGACTTTGAAAAGTCTGAGTTGTCGGTGGCTTTTGATCAACTTGGTGTTAGTAGTATACTTTTGCGAAATTATTATATATTTATTTATGTATGTTGTTCATCTTATTACGATATCATTATAATTTTTAATATCTTTTTATTGCAGATGCATTTATCCATCGATAATCCAGAAGAGGAAACTAAAGAGAATGTCTTGGAATTGTTAAAGCATCGAATCAGACACCAGCGACATAGGTTGAATAAACATTTCGGGAAGTTCACTTCGCTGGAGGAAGCAATTCGAAATAAACCTTACTTTGGAGGCTTAACTCAAGCGAACTGGGAATTACTATGTACTAATCTTTTTAGCGATCCTCAGTACCAAGTATGATCTTCTTCGTGAAAATAAGTTTTTAATATTTATTATGCATTTTATAATGTAAATCAACTTTATAGGAAAGATGCAAAATAAATAGGAACAATCGAAAAAAGATGATTACAAATCATAATCAAGGCTCTAGGTCTTTTGTAGCAGCTCGCCATATACTTGTAAGTTACTTTAAATTTTCTATAATATAATATATTAATGTATAACAGAATGTCATTTATCTCTATCTATTTTCTTACAGAGTAAAGAACTAGAAGAGGAGGAGGAGGAGGAAGATGATGATGATGGTGATGAGGAAGTCGATAGGATAAAATTTTACAAACATTGTCATTATAAAGAAGGGAAGGGGTGGGCTACTCCACAATGTGATAAAAATTATGTAAGTAAATTTTCAACTGTCTATTACATTGTATTCTGTTTGTACACTTACTTATATGATGATATTTTTTGTAGTGAGTTCTTTACTGTATATTAATATGAATATATTAGCTTAAAATTATATTATAGTTGATTCACGGTAGTAATTAGTAATTGTATTATTTTTTCATGAATAATACGATGATTTTGCTTTGGGATGTTATTTTGGATTTTTGTTTTGGTTTATCTGGCAAGACTTATGTACTTTCTATTGTCAATTAGAATTAGGCTTTTCACTTTACATAAATGTTAAACTCTCGGTGATCGAAACTTCATTTGTTTGTAGTAATTAATGTTGGTCCTTTGATGCCAATTTTAGGTGGAAATGGAACGTCGTAGGACTGAAGTCGAAGAATCTGGTGAGAAAGTTGATGCCGATAAAATTGCTGATGATGTTCTTGGAAAAAGATCTTCTTACATTGTTGGACTTGGATATGGTCCAAAACCAAAAAAAATTGCATCAAATTCGACTATGAAAATGCTTGAAGAACGTTTAAAAGAGAAGGAAAAAGCAAATTTGGAGCTTAAGGATAGAGTTGTTTCCATGGAAACAACTCATCAAGAGTATGGTCGTCTCATTCAACAATTGATGGAGTCTCAACAACGTTCAAGTACCTCTCCATGGTAATATTTTCTAGAATATCTTTTTATTTTATTTTAAATCTGATAATCAAGTAATAATTCGATCATTTTGCAGAGTGGAGACATTCTACTTGGCGAGAGAATAGAAGTTATGCACTTGGTGGATTTCCTATCATCTTATTCAAGCTCAAAGTAGTAATGATGTTTTAGTTTATATTTTTTATTCAGGTTTTCAAATTCAATTTGTAAGGAAGACTTTAATATTAGGTTGTTATTTTAGGTGTTTTAGAATGATCGTTTGAATTTTCGTGTCAATACTTATTTCAGTTTAGTTTTCATTTATTTGGGATAGTAATTGACTGTTACTTTTATAATATTTTATTTAATTTATTTGTCTATTTATTTACATTGTTACATTGTTTATTTATAAATCTAAAAATGTATAATTAATCTTTTAATTAACAAAAAAATTATTATTACAATAAGATTTGTTATAATAATTAATAATTCATTGCGGGAACGAACAAAATCCGCTGCGAACGATGAATGTATTGGCGACGAATTAAATTGGTTGTGCACGGTAAATGTATTGGCGGCAAAATAAATTCGTTGCGCACGGTAAATGTATTGGTGACGAAATAAATTCGTTGCTCACGGTTAATGTATTGGTGACGAAATAAATTCGTTGCGCACGATAAATGTATTGGCGACGAAATACATTCGTGGTGCATGATGGATGTATTGGTGACGAAATAAATTCGTTGCGCACGATAAATGTATTGGCGACGAAATACATTCGTGGTGCATGATGGATGTATTGGCGACTAAATAAATTCGTTGCGCACGGTAAATGTATTGGCGACAAAATAGATTCGTTGTGCACGATAAATCTATTGGCGACAAAATAAATTCGTCGCGCATGATGGATATATTGGCAACAAAATAATTTGTTGCGTACGATGATGTATTGTCAACGAACTAGATTTGTTGCTCATGCTGATTGTATTGGCAACGAAACATCTGTGGCAACAAACTAAAATTGTTGCCCATAGTTTGGGTATTGGCAACGATATATGTGTGGCAACAATATGAAGTCGTTGTCAATAATCAATGTATAGGCAACGATTTGTACTTTTTGTTGCCCCAGACTTTCCGCAACGAGGAAACCGCAACGAAGCCGGCAACGAAACTATTTCGTTGCCAATCAAATTGGCAACGAAATTATATACTTTCAGCAACGACACCTTGTGTTGCGAATTTTATAGTTTCTTGTATGGGCAACCTCCATCTTGATGAAGCATGACATCAATAATGGTATCCTCATATTGCATGCTCAGCTTTGCAAACAAATTCATTTTACATCATTACTATTTTCATGCCTTTATAAACTTCGACATATTATCTGATGAAAATGAAAATATAGAGTTTAGCAAAATTCTATTGTTTTTTCACTTATATTTATTCCATTTCAACATAACTTTCACTTAATGTTTTCCATATTATATGCACATTATTTGAAAATTTTCAATGATACATTATTCATTTTTGTTTTCTGAATTTTACCATTATTAATTAACTTTCACAATTAGATTGAGTCATTATTGGAGTTAATCAGTGACAAAGAAATTGTAATCATTCTATAGTTACATATATTTGAACGATTTGTGCATGTTTTATAGCTTTTTAGTACTTTTGTTTCAACCCTAATGAAAATGTTTTTTAGTTTGAAACAATGGGGGATGCATATAAGATAAAAATAACAACTTATTGGGTGAAATTTTTTACTGTGAAATAGGATTCTTTTTTTAAATATTATTATTTAAGATTTAATTTGGAAATTTTGATAAACATTTAGAATTTCGATTTTATTAATTACCTTATGTAGGGCGATTACATCTAAGTTTTTTGCCCGTCGAACAAGAAGACAACTGTTTGGTAATCCAAAGTGTTTTCTTTGCAAAACTTTATAATTCATAGCCAACATTTAAGTTATCCCACTAAATGCACTAATCCAATATTACAATGAAAATACACGTGCACTAATTAATATACTAATCCAACTAATTTATGTAACTAAAAACAGAGTAAAAAGTTATATGACAAATAACTATCGCATGTCGACGCCAATGGGCAACCTCCATCTTGATGAAGCATGACATCAATAACAGTATCTTCATATTGCATGCTGATCTTTGCGAACAAATTCATTTTACATCATTACTATTTTCATGCCTTATAAATAAACTTCTACATATTATCAGATGAAAATGAAATTACAAAGTTTAACAAAATTCCATTGTTTTTTCACTTATATTTATTCCATTTCAACATAACTTTCGCTTAATGTTTTCCATATTATCTGCCCATTATTTTAAAATTTTCAATGATACATTATTCATTTTTGTTTTCTGAATTTTCCCATTATTAATTAACTTTCACAATTAGAATGAGTAGTTATTGGAGCTAATTTTTGTTTTCTGAATTTTCCCATTATTAATTAACTTTCACAATTAGAATGAGTAGTTATTGGAGCTAATCAGTGACAATGAAATTGTAATCATTTTATACAGACATATATTTGAACGATTTGTGCATGTTTAATAGCTTTTTAGTACTTTTGTTTCAACCAAAATGTAAATGTTTTTAGTTGAAACCATGGGAGATGCATACAAGATAAAAGTAACAACTTACTGTGTGAAATGTTTTACAGTGAAATAGGATTCTTTTTTTAAATATCATTATTTAAGATTTAATTTGGAAATTTTGATAAATATTTAGAATTTCGATTTAATGAATTACCTTATGAAGCGCGATTACATTTAAGTTGTTGCCCGTCGAACAAGAAGACAACTGTTTGGCAATCCAAAGGTTTTCTTTGTAAAACTTCTTAAGTAGGTAATGTATATTCCTATCACATCCAAACCTATAATATACCTATGTTTCATCCTCCCATTATAAGATTTCCAAATATTTCACTTTGGAAATAAAATAAAAGCCATGTACACAAAAATTGTGCGATTTCATAGTAGTATTTAAGAAAAGACAAATTTATTTAAGAATTAAGAAGAAATCGAGAGATTTTAATTCGGAGAAACTTTAAGAGGACAATTAATAGAAGACAACCGGATCATTGATTTTGAAAAGAATTCAAATCAATTTCCTTCACTGTTGTACTCAATTTATAAACTTTATAGTTCACAGCCAACATATAAGTTATCCCACTAAATGCACTAATCCAATATCACAATGAAAATACACGTGCACTAATTAATATAGTAATCCAACTAATTTATGTAACTAAAAACTGAGTAAAAAGCTATATGACAAATAAGTATCACATGTCGACTCCAATGGGCAACCTCCATCTTGATGAAGCATGACATCAATAATAGTATCCTCATATTTCATGTTGAGCTTTGCAAACAAATTCATTTTACATCATTACTATTTTCATGCCTTATAACTAAACTTCGACATATTATCAGATGAAAATATTTTCATTTATATTTATTCCATTTCAATATAACTTTCGCTTAATGTTTTCCATATTATCTGCACATTATTTTAAAATTTTCAGTGATACATTATTCATTTTTGTTTTCTGAATTTAACCATTATTAATTAACTTTCAAAATTAGAATGAGTAGTTATTAGAGTTAATCAGTGACAAAGAAATTGTAATCGTTTTATCCAAACATATATTTGAAGGATGTGTGCTTGTTTAATAGCGTTTTAGTACTTTTGTTTCAAGCCTAATGAAAATGTTTTTAGTTTGAAACTATGTGAGATGCATATAAGATAAAAATAACAACTTACTGTGTGAATTTTTTTACTGGGAAATAGGATTCTTTTTTTAAATATCATTATTTAAGATTTAATTTGGAAATTTTGATAAATATTTAGAATTTTGATTTTATTAATTACCTTATGTAGGGCGATTACATCTAAGTTGTTGCCCGTCGAACAAAAAGACAACTGTTTGGTACTCCAAAGTGTTTTCTTTGCAAAACTTTATAATTCACAGCCAACATATAAGTTATCCCACTAAATGCACTAATCCAATATTACAATGAAAATACATGTGCACTAATTAATATACTAATCCAACTAATTTATGTAACAAAAAACAGAGTAAAAAGTTATATGACAAATAACTATCGCATGTCGACTCCAATGTGGGCAACCTCCATCTTGATGAAGCATGACATCAATAATACTATCCTCATATTGCATGCTGAGCTTTGCAAACAAATTCATTTTACATCATTACTATTTTCATGCCTTATAAATAAACTTCGACATATTATCAGATGAAAATGAAAATATATTTTTTAACAAACTTCCATTGTTCTTTCACTTATATTCGTTCCATTTCAACATAACTTTCGCTTAATGTTTTACATATTATCTGAACATTATTTTAAGTTTTCAATGATACATTATTCATTTTTGTTTTCTGAATTTTACCATTATTAATTAACTTTCACAATTAGAATGAGTAATTATTGGAGCTAATCAGTGACAAGGAAATTGTAATCATTTTATACAGACATAAATTTGAAAGGTTTGTGCATGTTTAATAGCTTTTTAGTACTTTTGTTTCAACCCTAATTAAATTTTTATTAGTTTGAAACCATGGGGAATGCATATAAGATAAAAATAACGACTTACTATGTGATATTTTTTAGAGTGAAATAGGATTTTTTTTTTAAATATTATTATTTAAGATTATAGTTGGAAATTTTTATAAATACTTAGAATTGGGATTTTATTAATTACCTTATGTAGGGTGAAATTACAACTAAGTTGTTGCTTATGGAACAAGAAGTCAATTGTTTGGTAATCCAAAGTGTTTTCATTGCAAAAATTCTTAAGTAGCTAACATAAATTCCTATCACATCCAAACCTATAATATACTTAGGTCTCATCCTACTATTATAACATTTCCAAACAATTCACTTTGTAAATAAAATAAAATGCATGTTTATAAAAATTGTGCGATTTCATATTAGTCATTTGAGAAAAGAAAAATCTTTTAAGAATAAAGAAGAAATCAAGAGAGTTTAATTAGGATAAAGATTAAGATGATAATTAATAGAAGATAAAAGAAGATGATTGATTTCGTAAAGAATTCGAATCCATTTCCATCACTGACGTACTCAATTTATAGGCTTTACAATTCATAACCAACTTATAAATTATCCTACTAATTGCACTAATCCACTAATACAATGAAAAATACACGTGCACTAATTAATATACTAATTCAAATAATTTATGTAACTAAAAAAAGAGTAAAATGTTATATGACAAATAACTCTCATATGTCAACTCCCATGGGCAACCTCCCTCTTGATGAAGCATGACATCAATAGTATCCCCATATTACATGATGAGCCTTGC